ACTCTTTAAAACAGTTAATTATAATGTAAATCAAAATCTATTAAAATATATGTGAAATACACTCACTTTTTGGCATCAGATTTACGATCAAAGACAATAAAGACTATCCTCTGAGGACGAGACACAGTGTTGTCGAGCTCTTTGTTGATGTCCTCCTCGAGAATGACCTTCTCTTGTGTGTAGAACTCCAAAGCGTCCACTTTTGGGAACCAAAAACAACAACCCATGAAACCCAATATATTTCCCAGAATATAAGGCCTCACTTCGCACTTCTGGCCGTAAGTCCTCTCGTAATACAAACAGTATCTCTTGGCCTCAATTGTAGTCAAAAGTTTCTTCATTAAACTCAATATCTCTTCGATATCGTAGACAAAAGTGATCCGTCGGACGGATATATTGGGGAACTGTTTGGACAAAAAGTCGTCCACCGATTGCGTGTCTCTTTTGGATTCGGGAATATTCTCTATCATTAGTATCTTTCTATCGATGTTTATCTCTCGCGAACTTATAATTGTGGAGAAACTTTCCATCAGATAAATGCCCTAAATTTTACACCAAAAATACAGTTAGATTTAAAATATGACATAAAATTTAATATTTCACACACCATTGCGACGATGAGTAGTGTCATGAGTGCGTGAATCCAAATGAATTTGGAGTTTGGCTTAATGTTGAGAAGTGTAGTCTTCTTGTAGCCCACTTCGTCCAATTGATCCAAACGTTTTCCATACAAATTGAGGGGCAAAATGATAACCAAACAGATGATTGTCATACACGCCATAAAGTAGATTAGATATCGTTGAAAAAGCACGTATTGAAGCGCATCCACACCTCTCTTCTGGAGAATGTCCTTATCTTTGATATACATGTATTTAATGATCCATTCCTTTAACGTCTTCGCGCTGTCATCGGCCTATAAATGGGAGATATCAATGGATTTAGCAAACAATACTGTATAGCGGTTAACATATGTTCAAGTGTTACCTTCTGGTGGTGAATATGTTTGGATGGCTTTATCGACAGACTCTTAACACTGTCGGTGTCGTCGCCCTTCAACACTGCCTTTAAGAGTGAGAGCTCGTGCTCTTCTTCACTGACGGGTGTCTCCGCTTTTTTAGTTGGTTTCCGGTGGACGACGACGGGCTCTATCGGCTCAATAGGGCTTAGAGTCGGTAGACTAGCGGGTGTTAGAGCCGGTAAATTTCCCGACTCGAGGGAAGACAGGCCGTGAGGCAAACCGTGTTGTTTTAGTCGCGTCGGCACAACACCACCGGCGATCACTTCAGTCGCTTTATTTCCCTTTGATTTATTGGGTTTCAGATTACTTGTGCCGCCGATTGTTGTATTGAATAGTTTGATAGTCGAGGGGTCTTCGGTGTTGTCGTCGTCGCGCCTCACTTTATCACCGATGAGGGCGTCATTGGTGTGCAAAATGATGGGTAAATAAGCCTTCGGGTGCTTTCTGTTGATCTGTTTGTCGGTGTAATAGATGTCTTCACTGGACTTCTTGTTATCGTATATGAATTGAAGAAAACTTATAATCAGAGAAAATAAAGACATTTTTAAATAAATTATATGTTTATTAGTTTTGAGTCTATTATGATATACTCAGTGTTGAGATGAGTTTTGGGAGCATTAATGTAATGTTTGTCTTTGACAATGGATCTCCTCCGAAGAATGGCAATTAAAATCAAAAATGCCTGTTTTGTATGAGAGAATCAAACAAATCTAATGTAAGATTATAATAAGGATTGTTTTTAACACTACATACGGCAGCCACGACCACATTGATCCCAATGGCGGTGGGAATGCCCTCCCATCCGGGCACGAGTGCCGAAAATGAATTGTTTGTCGTCAGTATTGAACACCGACTTAGGATCACCTTCTCGTCCACCCCTTGAGGCAAACTCCCTGTTATGTCATCTATAAGACTGTTATTCATGAAATCGGCTAATTCTGACCTCTCCTGCACTCGCGGCATATCGACCGATATAAGCGATTGTCTTATTTAGTGTCAAACAATTTGTATCTTTTATTTCTAGATTAGTTTATTTGTAAATGTATTGACAAAATTGAATTGAAGTTTGAATAGACACTAAAATTGCTAAACACTATCACTGGCTGTAAATCTCGCGAAAACTTTTTATTGCCTTTGAATTGAATGAAAAGTTTGTATAGAAGTCAATGGATTGTGTGTTGAATGCATTGTAAGGGCGAG